ACCCCGTCCCCAGCGCCGACGCTGTGCACCAGGAGAGGAAGCAGAAAGCGCAGGAATTCAGCAAAAAGGTAAGGCCGGGGCGTGGGGCGAGCGTCTGGGGCTCGGGGCAGCCCCTGCACCGGGCGGTTTGGAGATTCCCGCATTCAGCCTTGGCAGCGCTCTCGGATCGGGGGGTGCTCCTGGCTTGGTCACAGGGCTGGGGTGCAGACTGGGGGCTTCAGTGCCCGAGAGAAGGGTCTGATAATTACCTGTATTTCAGTAGTCACCGGGAGAATAGATGGATGCTGCAAAGAGCTTGGAGATCCTCTGGGGGATGATCCCAAGTACTTATTCCTTTGCGCTACAAGTGCTTATGGAAACCCACGGGGGCAGATCCCTCCCTCCTGCGCTTCTGGACGTCCCTTCAAAGTTTGAGCATGTCATTCCGCAGACATTTTAGCTCTTATTTTGTTGCAAAAGGAAAACATCGATGTGATTACCTCTTCATTGTATTCCTGAAGGCTGCCTACTGGGTAGTTTATCAAACACATCGCCTCATGCTAATTATAAATTTGATCATGGTTGTTTTTTTAATCTTTCTAATTTCAATTTCAAAGTAGCCCTTTAAAATACTGTTATGAAAATAACCAGGCTTGTGGGTTTTTTTTATCCTGAGCTAATAAAGGAACAAGACATTCATAAAGAGATTCGTGGGTATCAGCCGAATCCCCTCAGTCAGCTTCTACATTAAAGATTCACAAATATGCACTGAGGTTTGGATTCATAAGGCAGAGCATCGCATGTGAAACAGATACCTGCTGATTACAGGAGATTAACAAGAGGGTGAGACATTCTTCCACGCTGCCTCCATCTCCTGAAGTCACATTAAACCACGTAAACATTTCCTGGCTGATCACAGGAGAGCACTTTTGAAGCCAGCAAGCTGGTCGCGATGCTGTGAGCACCCGCAGCAGCACCTCATCCTTCTCCCTTCCCTGCCCAGCAAAGCCGCCTGTGACGGCCCCGGCCAGCCTGGGCAGAAGCAGCTTTGCGGACCACATGTGCCGCTGGCTCCTGGGCGCTGGAGCACAGCTTGGCTGGCAAACGCCTCTCTAGAGGGAGTTAATGGCACAGATGTTTTAAGTGGCTTCATTTTTTTACATGATGCAAAAAACAATAAACCCCAGCGGGGTGCTTTACCCCCTCATTTACCTGGGAGCTCGGCTCTGGTAGGTGCTGCTGATGCTGGTGCCGTGAGTGCCCGGGTACTCCTGCCCACCCGCCACAAGGCTGGAAGGTCGGAGGGTGCCGGTGGCTTGCATTTCGTGCCTGCACTGCCTGCAGGCCACTCGCAAGCCTGAGGTACGGAGGCTTTTTCCCCACCCTCATTCGTTTGGCAGAGCCCCGTCTGAATCCTGCTCGCCTGGCAGACAGACTGGTGGCAGCATTAGTGGCGGCGGGGCCGCGGCTGGAGCCGGGCTGCGTGAGCCGAGCGTCCCGGCAGCCTGGGGGCATCACCGAAAGCGCTGGAGGTGCTCAGGGTCTCGGTTCCAGGTCAACATCTCCTCTTGTCCCCTGCGCACTTGGGGATACGCTGGGGACTGCACTGACATGAGGGGTGGCAGCACCCCCCCCAGTCCCTCCTGCCAGGCCCTTCGGTCTCAGCCCAGGCAAAAATTTAACAGTAGCATCCTGGGATTCAGCTCACCAGGAACACCACGGTCTTTGTCATTTCTGTGCTGGACCTTGGGACTGAAAAGCATGCGAGTCCGCCTGGGGGATGCAGCTGCCTTGGCTGGCCCAGATTTGGTAACCTTGAAGCACTGCTGATGCCGGGAGCCCCCGCAGCACTCGCGTGGCGGCTGCGCAAACCCAGCAGCACCTGGAGGGTTGCTCTGGGGGTCGCAACGCCGGTGATGGCCCTCCCCGGGGAGCAGCCAAGTGGGACGAACGCCTGGAGGAAGCGGCTCTGCCCCTTCCCTAGGCAAGGGCCTCTCCCAGCCGGCACAGGGTGCTTGGCCGGGTGATGCCCGCTGGCTCCCTCGCAGTGCTGCCGCAGGGGCGCACACACACGCACTGGGGAAGGGCGAGGGGCTCCCCTCCCCTCGCTGCTGCTTCCCCCTGTGCTCACAGAGCTGGAGGGAAGCGGTTAAACCTGCTGTCAGCACAAGACCATCTCCTCGCAGGAAAACCCAACGCTGCAGGGTGGTCACAAGGAGTTTTCTGCATCCCGCACATATTTGCCGCACCCAGCCAGGCTGCAGGCAAAGCAGCAGCACCCGCTGCCCAGCACAGCCCCAGGGCAAGGGACAGCCCCCTGGCCTGGGAAGAGGCTAACAAGGAGGGTCCCATGCAGGGTAATTGGCTGGATGGTAATTAGCTAATTACTCTGCCTGTCATGGCTGTCACATGGACTGTGGCTGGGAGCTGCTGTTGCCAGGGCTGGTGCTCACGTTCGCACTCCGTCTCCCCACTTTCCTGCAGCCTCCCGGAATTAATGGCGGGACGGTGCCGCCCGGCAGGATCACGGTGTGATTAGAGGCTTAAACACCTCCAAAAGCCCACTGCGGTGTCCTCTGCCAGGTAGACTCCAGACCGATGCACCGGCTCCCCACCCAGCCGTGCCACAGAGCCTCTCCTGCAGGGACACTTGTGACCCGGCAGAGTTTCGGGGTTTGCTGTCACACCGCTGTTTATAACACGCAGAACAGCAATACCAGGGACATGTGCAAGGCCCCAGCAGTGCCGTGTGATGGGCTGATGGCTGACGTTTTGCTTTCCTCCCCGCGTGGGTTCCCTCCTCGTTGGCTGACCGGGTGCTGCAATGAGACGGACACGTTTTCTGCACCGTTAGTGTCTCCGTACGCACGGTTAACTGCTCTGCTGCTCAATGCCCCTTCCCTCTTCTTTCCCGGCTCCCGTGCTGCAGGTGGATGACATCCTCGGTGACCAGCCAGAGGTCAAGGAGAAGGTGTTCACCATTCTGAAGCAGTACGCGGCAGAGCGGAAGGTGGAGTACTTGGCCTATGCCCTCTGCATGGTCCTCACCCAGGAGTCCCACCAGCATCTGATTGACAACATCAGGTACAGGGTGCCAGCGACCTCCACGCTGCCGTGATGGTTTAAACCACGGGCACCCATCTGCCCGTCGGTGACGAGCGTGCAGGGCTGAGCGGTGCAGGCACAGGTCAGGAGGTTCCCGCGGGGAAGATGCCAACCCCCTTTCCAAGGGGCAGCCGAGCGGAGCTTGGTGGGGTCTCAGCCCAGCGTGCCCGTGCCCACCAGCCTGCGCGGCTGTCCTGCCCGGCGCGCGATGCAGCGGCACAGGGACCACAGCTCCGGCCAAGGCATCGCTGCAGGAACGCTCACCACAGGGTGGGACGGAGGGACCCGCGGCTCCCCGGCGGCCGGCAGCGCCCCAACCACCGGCCGTGCCCATCCCTGCAGGGAGCGGTGGTCATCGGCCCCACGGAGCCACCGCCCCTGCCTGTGGCACGGGACAGGGACCCACCGCCTCTGCCTGTGGCACGGGATGTGGCTCCTGTTTCTGGCCATCGTTTCGAAGGGAGATGGGATTAGCTGCAGAACGGCTGGCGGGTCTCCAAGAGCCTGGCCAGAAAATAAACCAAGCTCTGCAAGGCGAGAGCTGGCAGCGGGCGAGGGGTCAGCCAGGGCTGCCAGCAGCTCCGGCAGCAGGGGCGGCTGCGGGGGGTGTCTCTGTCGGAGCCATGGGCGGCCTCCAGGCCAGCACTGCCCGCAGCATCTCGGGGTGCCGGGGCTGTGGTCACACATTCTGGGATGCTCTGGCAATGCTCTGCTTGGGCTCGGGGTCCCCAGCACTTCTTGAGCCCCCGGTGGAGCGGTCGTGCCGCGGGTGTGCAGCTGGTGCAGCCGGTCCGCTGCTCTTCTTGCAGCACGGGCCGGCACTGCGGGAGGGTGCCGGTGCATGGACACGTGGTGGGGATTACGGCCAGGCTGAGACGATGGCCATTAGGGAATCAGGTCTCCATCTGGCCCCACTCCGGGCCCGGCTTTCCAATTCCTGCTTTAATCAGTGGAATTGCAAGATATTACAGTTACCATAACAACGTCCCCGTGCCGGGGTCTCCGCCGCGCCTGCTGTGATCCAGCGGTGGGGAGGATGGGGAGAGCAGGTCGGTGGCCCTTGCCTCGCAGCATCCCCCTGCTCGGCAGCGGCTGCGCATGGGCCACCTGGGGCCCCTCCGGACCCCCCCCACCTGAGCGGGGATGGGCGTGGACCCCTGCAGAGCCGGGGTGCGGAGGGGACCGTCACCTCCGCAGCAGCCGCCTTGTCCAGGAGCCCACGTCCACGCTGTCCTG